TTTTGTTTTGCCATATAACAAACAAATTGACCCTTTCTTGTTTTTTTTTTTTTTTTCATTTTCCCATTGCTGGAGAAGGAGGTAATGGCTCTTACTCATTAAGTGAAGTTGCAGGAGGTGTAGGTGTAGTTGTGCCTAATGTGGGCTGTTGCTGTCTCTCACTGTTTTCAGTCATCCAGATCCAGAGTGTCCTTGGGGTTAGTGGCAAGCAGAACCTGGAATCTGAAAGAGCCTTCCTCTTCACTGCTGCTTTGACTTTTATTCCCCAGCCACCAGAGCAGTCTTAAGTTCTTAAGCCCCTGGAATCTGGTAAAGTGCACTCTTTAAATATACAAAATGGTCAAGCCACTTGTAAACATTCAAAATGGCTGTGCCCTCTGGACAGGCAAAAGTCCACAGCTCAGCCCACCTTCCACTTCATTGCTGCCTCACTTTTTATTCCCCAGCCACCACAGCAGTCCTCTGTACAGTCCCTGCTAGCAGAGCTGATTTTTACCTTAATTCTTCGGTCCTACCACCACTTGGCAAACTCCAAGCTGTCTGTGCCATCAGGATCGCTCAGGATTGCTACCAGACCACAGCTCCATATATCTGCTTTTTTGGTATTTTCATACAAATTCTTCTGGTAGTTGAGGTGTAGTCCACTTCTATATCCTTCCCTTCAAGGCTCAGGGGTCTAGCATTATCTTCTGTGTCTGTGTTAATTGGTTTCCATTTTCTTTGTTGAAGAGGATCTGTGCAGTCTTTCTGCCTATTCCACCATCTTTACCCAGGTCTCCCTCATTGCCTTTTTGCTGCTATAGTTTCTGCCAGGAAATTAGAGTCTTATTGGTTGCCGTTTGTATATAACTTTTTGTTTTTCCTTTGCTCCTTTCAGGATTAGATTTTTATTTTTGCTTTTGCCATTTGCTTATGATATGCTTTGGTGATTTTCTTTTGGGGTCTATCCTGTGTGGAGTTTGTTAAACTTCTTGAAAGGATATCGTCTCAACTTTCATCATGTTAGGGAAATTCTCTTGCAACAAATCTTTGACAATTTCATCCCTGACTTCATTTGTATTTTTCTGTTTTGGAATTCAGATCACAGGAAAGTTACTCCTCTCATGATGGTGTCCAACAGGAATTTTAGGGTTTCTTCCTTTTGTTTTGATGTTTTTCTGTTCTGATTGTTTCCTTAAAGCAGTATTGAGGGTTCTGTCTTGAAATTACTAATTTTTTGTTGCATTGATTTGATTCTACTCCTTTGCCCATTGAGTGTGTGCATCCAAAATCTTACTATTAATCTTCTTCCTTCCTTTTTTTTTTTTTTTTTGGTGGGGTGGGGGGAGATTCTAATTTTACATTTAGTTTGTCAGTTTGTTCTTGTATTGTTTTCCTAAATTGTTCTAGAGTTTTGTTTGTGATTTCTTTAAATTTTTCAGTGCTTTCCTTGGTCTAGCTCCAAGTCCATTGAAGGTACCTAACTACAATTTTTTTGAATTTCTTATCATGGAATTCCAATGTGACTTCTTCCTCAGGGAGATTTTCTGATCCCTTGTTCATAGTACTTTATCTTGCTTCTTTTTTGTGGACGAGGATGGTCAGTTGACTCCAAGACATTGTGATATCATTATATTTATATATCTACTTCATTTCCTAGTCTGGCAGCGCTAAGGCACTCACAACATATCTCCTGGTAGAGGTGATGGAGGATGAGTGTGAGCAGTTGAGGGCAAATTGGGCTGCTGCCATCGATCATTGATCAGTTGCTTCATAAGCCCTGTTGATGGGGTTACAGGAGATGTGGGTGTGGTTGGGTCATGTGGGTACATTTTCTTTTCTTAATTTTTATTGTGATTTGGGTGAAAGTTTACACAGGAAATTCATTTCTACACAGCGGTTTATACACATTTTGTTTCATAACCTCAACTACAATCTCTCACAGTGTAACAACTCTCTTCCCACTTCCTCCCTGTAGTCACCTCTTCCCTGGGTCCTTTTTTCCTATTCTTCTCTGCCCCTCGAGATAGTTCCCCATACAAATATCACCTTTCTGTTCTCCCATGATTGATCATTCTAAGGAGTGTATCTATCTACCTGGTGTAAATGTTCACCCTATATGCCTGTCTATTGTTTGGCTGGAAGCTACAGTAGAGAGTTCAGTTCCAGACCTGCTACAGTTTCATTCTAGTCATCAGCTTCCAGTGCCATTGTCTGTGCTGTCCTCTGCAAGTGGAGCTTATTCTTATGTTGCTGCCTGGATCAGAACATCAGTTTTCAGTTATTCAAATTGGTCATGCCATTTGCAAAGTTTCAAAATAGCCTCACCCTTTGGATAGCTGACAATCCACAGTCTGTTTGTCTCCTTATTCACAGTTTATCTTTCTAGTCATCAGCCACCAGTGAAGTTGCTCATGCAGTCCTCAGTAAGCAGAACCAATTATTAGGTTGCTGCTTGGATCAGAATGTCAACGGTAAATATTAAAATTTGCCATGCCATGAGGACAGCCAACAGTCTGCAGCTCCATTTGTCTTCTTACTTGCTGTTTCATTCAGGATTTTCTATTATTTGGTATTTAATCCAGTTCTTTATCCCTCCCTTCAAATTGTGTTCCAGGATTATCTTTTATACCTATTTCTATTGGTTTCTCCTTTGTTGTAGAAGGTCTGTGAGCTTGCCTGCATATTCTACCATCTTGCCAGAGACTCCCTTCTGTCTTTGATTTTTGACAGTGTATGTACAAGAGGAAAAGACCTGGTAGTGCAGTGGTTAAGCACTCAACAGGTACCCAAAAGGTCAATCATTCAAAACCTCCTGGCACCCTACATGAGAAAGATGTGGTAGTCTGTTTCTACGAAGATTACAGCCTTGAAAACCCATGGGGCAGTTATTCTGCACTACAGGGTCACTCTGAGTTGGAATAGACTTGGTAACAGACATATATAGAAGATGAGTGCCTGCAGATTTCAGGAAGTGTAAGTTTCAAAGAACAGAAAGAATTTACAGCAAAGAGGAAGACAGGAGAAAATCAGCTTCAGACACCATTGATAAATCAAAAGTATGCTTTATTTCAAACAAATGGATGATTGCAACAATGCTACATGTATGTAGGAAATTTCTTCAGGAAAAGTATATGCCATCATCCCAGAGAGTGAAAAAGGACCCTCAGTTAAGATTTATTCTGACATTTCATGCTCATCCAATGGCTTCACTTTAAACCGTGGATTTAATAAATACTGGTCATAGAGGAAGTTGAGGGCACTGATAACAGATAGGAAGGCGGTTATGATTGCAAGAGGGAACGCATAAGAGGATCGCTTATGTGTTAGGTCTTCTTTTCTAATGGTAAAGTTGAGTGGAAATTCAAAGGTTGTGCCAAATTTATCATCAATGAAATTCCAGATCGCTGTCCCCAAAGTACAGAAAGAACTAAGCAAAATAAAAATGCTGCAGATTTTGTACATAAATCGGCAGAAATGTGGGTATGTGTCTTTGCTCATGCTGACAAGATATGCCAGCATGGCAAAAACCAGGACTAATAGCTTCATAAAATTAGCCAACAAGATCAGGTCCTGACCATATGTGATTGCATTTGGGATGACCCAGGTCTCATTCAGAGTGTGCTCCTTCACAGTTTGAGCCGCAACTGTAGAGATGTTAAATGTATGAATACAAAGAACTTTCCAAAGTCCAATAAACATAATGGTATTAATCCTGCCTTCAAATTCCCACACTCGCCATTTTCTGCTGTTGGCTAGGATGACACCAAATCCCAATGACAAATAAATCAAAACGAGGCCAGTCAGCTTGCGAAGAAAGTGCTTCCTTTCAAGTCGACTGCAGACAACATGGAGGAGTTATGAAGTCAAGCCAGGGATGGGGCAGGCGGGGATGGGGGGAAGGAGAAAAAAATGGATAAGCCATGCTTTAGAAAGTATTGAAAGTTTACACCTTTTCCTGCTTGTCTAAACTTGTATGAACATATTCTATATTCTTAGTGACCTTCAATTAGTGCTCTACTAACTGGGCAGTAATATTACCAAGATCATAGATGGGAGGTTGGCTGTCAATTTGATAAACTCCCTGTCCATGAATACCTTCTTACAGCACAAGAGGTGGTGTTTAGAGAGTGTGGGATTCTGGAAAACAAGAGCCAAATCCATGGCTTTCATAAATGCTTACCTGTGTCAGGTCCTATTCTAAATATTTTATGAATATTAACACATCCAAACCTCATGAGAGCACTGTGGTGGTGGTACAACCGTGACCACCATTTTCTAGAAGATAGAATTGAGAGGTTAATTGACTTAGGATCACACAGATATAAATGGCAAAGCTGGACTCCAGAGTCTTCACCATTAGACATAGGCTTCCTGGCTTTCCTACTTATCTGTGAAATTTATTCTCATTAAAAGAGCACCAACAAATAGGCAAATCCCACATCCAATAAAATTGTGGTCCTCGGTGGTCTTCTCTATGTCCCACAAAAAGTGAAAGTGAATCTTGACTGCCAGCAGCATGAGGGAACAAGTAATATCTACTCATCTCCTGATCTCCTTTCTCTCTGTTTTAACTCAAGACCTTTTTATAAGCAGCCACTTCATAGAGCAATGATGCACTTGGAATATTAAAGGAATTACACCCTGTGGTTGGTAACCCTGTCATTTGGATGTCAAAGTCACACATTAGGCATTTATATTCTCATGCTGACACTAAATCTTGTCATGATTCTCCTAAAATGTGTGATATGATGGTGGAGATGACCTATATCAATGTGGTGAGCTGTAACTCACAAAGTGATACTAGGCTGACCTTGTTTTAGCTGCCAATAGCATAGAGCTTAGCAGACCATGATGAAAATGAAGCAAAAGAAAGGTAGCCTGAGCTTACCTGTTTTCATTGTCCATCACAGGATATGTAATGTTTTCACAGAGAATATGAAGATTAAAATTAAGACAGGCTCACAGAAAGTCTCAGTGATATCCTCAGCCAGCACCAAATGACAAGTAAACACAGTGCTTCCTCCTGATAAGGTTAAAATAGGAGAGGAGGAGGACTCAGAAGTGCAAATAGTGGTAACTGCCAGGTTGGGAGGTCGTTGGAAATTGAAATGTTCTTATGTTTCCATAACTACCAGAGTGTGTTTTCATAACTACCAGAGTGAGTCAGAGAATTCTGAGAATGATGGTCATGTAACAGAGGCAAAATGATGGCCCAGAGGAGACAAGATACTGTTTAAAGAGTAAAGTCTTTCTAGAATAGAAATTTCAAGTGAATTTTCTTTGTAAACTTTCACCCAAATCACAATAAAGATTAAAAAAAAAGAATAGAATAGAAATTTCATTTTTAAGGCCCTAACTCACCCACACTTGCCTTGAAAGAAAGACCTGGTAAATCTGTTTCTGAAAGGTCCCCTAAAAAAAGCCACTCCATTGCCTTCAAGTCAGTTTCAACTCGTAGCACCTATATGAGATATGGTTTCCAAGGTTGTAATCTTTACAGAAGGAGACTGCCACATCTTTCTACTATGGAGTTGCTGGTATGTTCATATTGCCAATCTTTCAGTTAGCACCAGATACTTAACAAGTAAGCCATCAGGGTTTCCTTCTGAAACGGTCATAGCCATAACCTATGAAGTGCCATTCTACTATGCACATATGAGGTCGCCATGAGTCAAAATTGACTCACCAGCAACTAACTACAGCTAAAAAGCATTGTGATTTATGACTCCTTGTATGATGAGAAACTTAAGGAAAGTTCACAGTAGATGGAAATGTCCTTCATGACAGGACATGGGCCTTCACCAGAGAAGTGAGGGTCATGTGGAATGTACCTTCCTAAGTTTCCTTGGTTATGTTAGAGCTGAACAGAAGATTTCAAAGAGCAGCTCGAGTAGACAAAGCCAATTACTATAATGAAATGTGCAAAGACCTGGAGTCTGAAAACCAAAAA